TTTCACATTTTTTTCAGATCCTCCAACCCTTTAATATAATTTGACCTGTACACGTTTTCAACCATTTCTTTTACAATTCATCTTGAGGGAACTCCTAATCCAAACAGCTCTCTCACTGTACCCGGAATATATCATGGTCTCTCTAGGTCCAACGATTCAGCAGTCACCCTACTCCTCTTCTACAATGCTTTCCCATCCTCTTCAGCAAAGCTAACCAGCGCTCTAATGTTGTTGGACAGAGCTACCGATGCTTTATTTTTATTCTTCAACTTCTCCCAACCCCCACCTTTCTTCCTATCATTCTCTATGCATTTCATGTTCCAAAGAATGAACAACTCTTTTCCTCCTATTGATGACTTCTACACCATTTAAATTTCAAACTTTCCATTATTCTCTATCCTCTTTCCTTTAAATTGGTTTGGTTCATACTGCCTTTAAGAAGGATTTATTCTGTGGCTATTTCTTTCACCCTATTTCTCCTTGAGCACCCTAAAACAAGCAAACAGGTCTTTCACATGAAGTACCAGGTAAGATTTTTTAATTCTATACTCTGACTTTCTGGGCCTACAGTAAACAGACATTCAGTTGCTGAATGTAAGAAGTGTTTCCTTCTCTATTCACAAGCAGCCTTTCTGACTAATTAAAGAATGTGTCAAAACAGCTCCCCAGAAGAACCCATATGTCAGCCAAAGAATTAAATATTTTGAAAATGAGAAGAACTACTTGGTCCATTTCTCAATAGAGATTGAGAACAAAGGAAAAGAGACAGGGAAGAAATAAAACAGAATTGAAATGGAAATAAATTTAGAATTCTCTCATTATATTGTAAAGGAAAAATATTTAAGCCCAGGACTCTTGTTAAGCCATTATGTATATGCCTAAGATTTTTTTACTACCCTTCTACTTTTTTTTTTAAGTTGTAGATGGGCACAACACCTTTATTTTATTTTTATGTGGTGCTGAGGATTGAACCCAATGCCTCATACTTGCTAGGCAAGTGTTCTACCACTGAGCTACAGCTCTAGCTCCTGCCATAATCTTTTGATAGAATCCAAGCCCCAAAGGCAAAATGGAATTTAAAAGGCCAAGGAATGATAAGAATGATGGGGAGTAGATAGGAGGCTTTGGCATAGTACTAATAATTCCTTAATACATTGTGTTTCAAAAAGACCTGAGTGCTGCCGTATACACCTGTTATCCCAGCAACTCAGGAGGCTAAGGCAGAAGGATTGCACTTTTGAGGGCAGCCTCAGAAACTTAATAAGGCCCTAAGCAACTTAGTGAGACCTTGTCTCAAAATAACAAATATAAAGGACTGGGGATATAGCTCAGTGGTAGATCACCTCTGGGTTCAATCCTCAGTCCTAAAACAAAAAACAGAAGAGCACTTACTTATCACTCATTGCTGAATGGAAAAATAAGTTAACTGTGTTCCACCATTTCTTCCAAAACTTCAATGACAAAAATTGTTAGAGAAGAACACAACACTGGTAAAGGCTTCTATCTTCCCTTAAATGTATGCTATTGCCTTGGGAACTGAGCTCCTATGGGCCCAAGTAGTAGAAATGAGAGGCATGTAGAAGAATGCCATTTGAATTTGGCTGTATGTCTTCAAGGATCAAATGAAAATATGTGTTTATAGAAGCAGAATGGCTAGAATAAATAAGTAATTTAATTTAAAAAAAAAAGAAGTAGCAGAATGGCTTCTCAGCTGGTTTGGATATTCACTTTTGAGCCCTTAAGTTGTTCCATTTTTCTTAGTCCACTACTGGTATAGTATTTGAGAAGTAACAAACTAAACAGTAAAGATATATAGAAGGTTTGGGTCCTGGGTCTCCTGGGACAATAGCATTCCTTCCTTCTTAGAACCCATCATAGCAGCTGAAGAAGGCACCATCACAACATTTTAGTTTTTGGCTATATTCAGAAATGTTTAGAAATTCTTCATTATTGGTTCATTCAATAAATATTTGTTGATGCTATGCCATATTTGATATTGCAGGTATCAAGATGGTTAAGTGCTTATAAAGTGTTATCTAAGTATTTAACACACAGCTAGCCATAAACACAGCTTCTAGTTTTGTTGGTACTCAGTATCAATTTCCTTCATTACTCTTTTTCCTTAGATCTCACCTTTTGGCTCACCATATAGGGTTCAAATAAATAAATAAATAAATAGTTCAGTTATAGTGCAACTTGCCATATGGTAAAATATACAATATGAGATGATATGCCAAGACATGGGAGGGACAAGGGTAGGTGGCATGTTAGCTGAGTCTTGGGCACTAACTGGCCTGGTAGATACTGGATCATATATAGGAATAAGAAGAACTCATAGTTCAATAAATTTACATTTCAAGAAGTAGAATAAGGATTTCTTCTGAAATCTAAGCCAGTTGATAAAGGAAAGGGTAGGGCTGGGGATACAGCTCAGTTGGTAGAGTGCTTGCCTTTTATGCACAGAGCCCTGGGTTCAATCCCCAGCACCATAAAAAAACAAAACAAAACAAAAAAAAACAAATAAAAGAAAGGGTAATGCAAATTTAAATGGAAACTACTCACTACTTGGTTTGCTTCTCCTATTAAAAGAAAAGATACCGGAAGAAAATTCAGAGCAAAGATAAATTAATTTTTACTAACAATCAAAGGCAAACAAAATTCTAAGTATCAAAAACAAGGCTAAGTGAACTATTTTTGAAGCAACAACAACAACAACGTCAAAAAAGACCCCTGGGCGAGAAATTTTACAATCATCCCTTTTCTAGGTCGGAACTCTCTTAGAATGAGACAAAGAAAAATCTGGACCTGGAATAAGAGGAAGACATCAGGAATCCATTCACTAAACTGTCAGAGATTTGTCTGACAAACAAATGAGGAGCTAGGGTAATCAGATATCAAAGAAAAAGGAAATGGACTGGGGAGAATAAATGAAAAATTACAACTCCAGAGCAAAGGGTTATACCTTTTTAGGATACCCACGAGTTTAAGTTAGGAGGAAAATAAAAAAGAAATTATTAGAATTTGATAAAAAAAAGAACCATACTCATGCTTGTCTACATTATGCCTTGTAAAAATTAAATTTGATATTTTAATGTATCTAAGCAAGTAAGTACTGAATGCCTTCTGGACTGAAATAAAATTTAAAATTCTTACTACCCATTCTGTTCAACACAGAATTAGAGGTGGGAGAAATGTATCCACACAAAATATGTGGCTTGTTTTGGTTTTCTCTTATTAGGCATAAATGAAGGGCATCTTAAAAGTATATAAACAAAATCCAAGACAACTAGTTGTGCATGCTTGTATGTTTTTAAGGAACAGAAAATCATAATGAAGAAAAGATTTGAGGAAATATACTAATGTCATTAAAATATAATTGGACTTACAGGAACAATTACTGTGCTGTACTGTAAGGGGAGCTGTTGGCACATAAGAGCAAAGCACACGTATGAGCTCATCCACCAGCCTCGGCAAGACCCACTTCCAGCTAGAAGCAGTCATGTTTCAACACCTCCGATTCCCTAATGCTGACAAGCTAAACAACTTGTTTTGTCTCTGGGAGCTCTTCTCTGGTGATTAACTGCTTATGGTGAATACTAATTATATGAAAGTACAGTATTGAAGAAATAGTGCCCTATTTCCTCTACCTGCAGCCTCAACTTGTCTTTCAATCTAGAAGGTACAAGGCAGAGCCACTGCAAACCAGATCCAAGAAAGACATTCCCCTCCACTCCCACCCAAGTAATAAATATAACTCCTGATTTTGGTAAAGCACAGTTAACTGACAAGAAATCTCCATTTAACCCCTGGGCTCCAAACCCAATATAATGACAATAAAGTCAGTGTTTTAAAAGCTAGTAACAATCATACAGATAAATCTGCAGGAAGAGTTTGTGAATTAGTAAACTATCAGTGTCCTCAATTTCCTATGTCCCATGTTGAAAATTTACCCCAAATTGTCAGTTCTTAGGAACTGCACCTCAGATTAAAATCTTCTCACCAGGGAGTCTATAAGAATTTGTTCTTGTGTTTTAAATCCTAAGTGCTTGTTAAACCGCCAGCACTGCAAAATTAGAGACCATTAAACAATATAAGGCAGCAAGTGATTAAATCTACCAAATACACATTCAAAGCAGCTTAAGCTACTTTTTAATTAAAAATAAAATATCATTGGCTAAATTCAGATGTCTTAGCTACCCAGAAAAAGTTAGAAGGCTGTTCAAAATGCAAAGTGCTTCTGATAAGTCCATACATAAAAGGAGCCATAGGGTAGGGGGTGGGCTGGACAGGGAGCTTTGTGTGGTCCCTAAACCACATGGCAGGATGTCCCAATGCTGACCTGGTTCAGGCAGTGGACATTGAGAGGGAGTCTCAGCTGCACTGCAGGGTAAGGACTCCATGTGGCTGCTGATTAAGAAAGCTTTATTAGCAAAGGCCCCCAAGGAGACAGGGTGTTCCACCTTCTTGGCAGGGGAACAAGTTGAATAACAGCATCACAGGAAGCTAAGGCATTGGAGATGTATAGATGGCCAAAGGAAATGTTCATTCTATTTTTAAATACGGCTTAAGCTAATTGATAAACATTTCTCGAAATAATCACTAGCTTTGGGGGATGGAGGCATAGGGGCTTTTGAGTTAATGGGATCACTTGAGATTAAAAGAAAATCTTACTGTAAAGTTAGAAGTAAATAAACCTTGTAGCTTTAAGTTGTTCCTACTTGTTTAAAGTAAAGAAAAAGGGCCAGGGGGCTTAGTCAACTTCAGGCAGAAGGCCAAGATTCTGAAGATCAGACTTAAGGCTGGGATGATATCATTCACTCTGAAGTCTTGATTCTCTTTCTGAAGCATGAGAAAATTTACTGGTAAAACCTTACCTCACCCACAGTTTTCTTATTTTTAACTCTATTTTTTTTTTCCTCTCAAGAATGATTTTCCAAATATGCATTCTGCCTTATATGTAAATGTTATGAATTTACTTTTAGCTTCAGAAATGGTCTTACCTAAGAAGCTTGCCCTAAAGTAAAGTACAGGCACTTGGTAGCTACTGGAATATAAGACATGATATTCATATTTAATCACTTCAGATGCTGCTGCAGTCTCCGTCGCTTCAGCATCATCCAAGGGTACCTCTAAAACCTCCTGAAAAAAAGCAAAAAGAAAACAAAACGCGTTGGTCAGAAAAAAAAAAATAGTACTTACATGGAAAGGGTAAGATGAAATTTCCTTCTTGCAAAATAACAGTTAAATAAATATAGGACTATGAGGTAAGGAAAAGGGAGTTACCCATATTAATGTTTAACATTTGAGTCCTGGATAAATAGTAAAACCAGAAAACATTAGCAGTAAGTAATTCCAGATTGTTTTGGGTAGACAAAGCAGCTCTGGGTAAAGAAACAGGAAGGGGAAAAAAGATCTTTTGCAACAGCAACTCTAAAAATCTTTACTGTACAATTTTAGCAACAAGATGAGGGCTATACAAGCTACCTTCTTCCCTACCTGTGAAAGTTAAAAACATCCTAACAATTGAATGAGAGGCTGTGAAATGTCCCTAAAGATTCTATTGTACTTGCCAAAAGATGATTCATTGTGTGCTGAACAATTCCCAGTTCCATTTTGAATAAGAAAGTTATTTTACAAGAGGTTGAGTTTGTTAGGTATATTTGAAATCCTGATGATTCTGTTTTCTTCATTATTGTGCTATCTTTGGTATAGTTCCACAACAAATCTTGATTTATAATAGAGTAGATGGCAAACGTTAATGTCAAGTTAAGCAGGGTTTTATAAGTAGGATAGTCATTTCACTTCGCACTTAATTATTCTTATTGGTTGACTTTTTTTTTTTTTTTTTTTTTTTTTTTAATGCAGGCTGGTTTCTTGTGAATGTATCTTGAGCCAGGCCAGCTGGTGCCAATAGTTCCAGGTTCTCTGAAGCCTGAGGCAGAGGGATCAATTGAGCCCAGGAGTTTTAGACCAGCCTGGGCAGCATAACCAGACTCCATTTCAAAACAACAACAACAACAAAAGGATCTTAAGGTTTAGAAGAAATTAATTGGACTCTTTGAATTAGAGTCTGATTCCATCCACAGGCACTTATTTATATGGGCTAAAGAATTTCCTTTGAAATTACTTTAGTTGAAGGAATGAAACAGGTGAGTTTGGCTTGTTTCTGCTTCTCATTAAAGCAATAACAGCAACAACGAACAATAGGAAAGATTTCAAACTTTATCAATATAAAATAAGGCTGCCTGTAGAGATAAGTAGAACCAGGACTGCTTTCCAGATCTGTGTCTCCTTTACTAATTCCCTGCTCACAGTCAGTTCATTGAGGAGATATTACTATGGATAAATCACAACAGGAGATATTTACAAAATATTTTTCACTAAATCCCAGTAAACACTATCAATTAAATACAATAATTTAAATAACCAGAGATATATCACTAAAATAAACATTCTAGACACAGAAAATTAATAGTGTCAAGAAAGAAGCTTTTGTTTGTTGTTTGTTTTTAATTTTCATTAGGCATGAGTATCTAGATCTTTACAACAATTCTTTTAATCCAGATTCTTTTTGTTCAATAACTGGGTTATTATTTAGCACTTATAACTTCTTTTCTTTTTCTTTTTTTTTATTGATTTAAAAAAATGACAGTGGAATGCATTACAATTCTTATTACACATATACAGCACATTTTTTCATATAAAATTATATCCTGGTGTTTTGTTTTGGATCTTGAATGTCTCCTAAAAGCTGTGTATTGAAGGCTTGGTCACGAGCCTGTATGTAGCTCTGTTATGAGATGGCAGAAACCTTAGGTGGTGGGATCTAGTGGAAGAAAGTTATGTCAATGTAGAAATGCCTCTTAATGGGATATCAGGACCCCAGCATGTCCCTTCCCACAACCACCACCCCACTCCCCAATCACTATGACTTGAGCATTTTCCTCTGCCACATACTCCTTGACATGATATTCTGCATTGCCACAAGCCCAAAGTCAAGGAAACATGGACAGAAACATCTGAAACTATAAGCCAGAATAAATCTTTCCTTCTTACAAGTTGCTTTTCTCAGGCATTTTGTCACAGCAATGGAAAGCTCACTAATACACATAGTAATAATAATAATAATTTCAAACACTGCACTGCACAAATATAAAAAATAAAAAGTGAAATTCTCTTCATCCTAGCACTTCTCTAACTCAAATTTGTAATAATTTCTAATAAGCTAGTGTACATTTTTTAAGACATTTTTAGTTTGGGGCACACAAACACATATGCACACATACACACCTCCCCCACCCTGCACTCTCCAGTCAAACCATACTATATGGCCATTCTGCGACCTGCTGTCATGTCAGTGCTGTAGACTGATTCCTTTATTGTATTCTATTGTATGAATATAGTAAAGGAATTGTATGACTATGTCATGATTATTCTTGTTTATTTCACATATCCATATTGTTAGATATTTTATGTTGACTATACAGTTTTCTCCTATTACAAATAATGCTGCAATGAATATCCTAGCTCATATACCCTTATATACCTCTATTTTTCTATGGCACGTGCTCCTACAGGCAAAATCATTGTGTCAAAGAGTACGTGTATTTTAAATTTCAAGACATACTGCCAATCTGCCCTTAGAAAATGACTGTGTTAATTTATACTATTAAAAAATATGTCTGAGAATGTCCTTTTTCCCTATGCAATTAATACTGAATAGTAATATAGCACAATGAATTCCACTATTATGTATCATTAGAATGCACTAATAAAAAAATTTTAAATATCAAAAAACCAAAAAATAATACTGAATATTATGTTTTCAATTTTTGTCTACTTAATGAATTTTAAAATTTCAAGCTTTTGTTTTAATTTCTAATTTTTTGATTACCAGTGAAGGTGAACATCTAGTCTACAATTATTGGTTATTTGTATCTTCCATGATTTGCTTATTCTTATCCACTGCCTACCTTTTTTTATATTTAGTTTGTTAACATTTTTCTTGTTTAATTATATAATCACTTCATGTATCAAAAATAAGTTATTATTGAACATAAGTACATATGACTGCACCAGTTTTCTTCCAACTTGGTTTATTATAATTTTATCATAAAGTTTTTAAAATGTTTATGTAGTCAAATCTATGTATTTTCTATTTACACCTTCTGAGTTACATGCCTTCAATAGAAAGCAGGCTGCTGTGTCCCATCTTACTCTTAATAATTATAAAAATGTTAAATTCCTTTATTATATACAAGTTAAATTAACATTGACATTATTAATCCATCTGAATTTTGTTTTTTGTATATAGTACAAAGTAGATTTTTTCCCAGATGCTTTCCAATAGTCTATCTTTTCCCCATGGATTTTAAATATTACCATTATCATAGTTTAGGGGTGTATCTATGGTTTATTCTCTTTTCAATCAGAATGGCTTAATTTTTTTAAAAAAATGATACCATCAAATATTTATGAAGTTGCTATATCATACATATACTGTCGGATGGAACATAATACAGCATAACCTCTCTGGAAAATCATAGTTAGTTTTTTGAAACTCTAAACATAATTACCATAACAACCTATCACTTGCACTCTTGGGCATTTTTCCCAGAAAACTGAAAAACCTGTACTTAACTGTTCATATTTTTTTTTTTCAGAAGAGCCAAAAACTTGAAACAGTTCAGATATCCATCAACAGGTCAATGGTTAAACAAACTATGGTACATCTATATCATACTATTTAGCAATAAAAAGGATCGAACCATTGACACACACACACAAACCTGCACAAATCTCCAGGGAATTATGATAAGCAATAAAAATCAATCCCAAAAGGTTAAATATAATTTGGATCCACTTATAAAACATTTTTGAACTGAGAAATTTTCTAAACAAAGAACAGAGAGTAGATTGGTGTCGACGGGGTAGAGTAAGGTGTGTCTGGTTACAAAAGGGCAAAATGAGAAATACTTGTGATGGAACTGAATACACTTGTGGTAAAATTATATAGATATAAGTACACACACAAGTACAAGGAAAACTGTGGAGACCCAAGTAAGAGCATGTCTACCATATAAATGTCAATATCTTAGACGTGTTATTACACCACAGTCTTATAAGAAGTTATCACTGGGGAAAACTAGGCAAAAGGTACATGGGATCTTTTTGATTACTTCTTATTACTACATGCAAATCCATAGCACTTTTACAAGAATTGATTTATAAAATCAAAAGCAAAGAAATATGCAATTTGAGGCTTGTTAAAAACTTAATAAATTTCTAAGACCTCAATGTGCTAAGAATATGGACAGCATAAGGATCATGTTAATAAAGGAACTCCAATGTCTGGGAGAATATAAGGAACAATAAATGTTGGCAAGGATGTCAGGGGAAAGGGACACTCATACACTGTTGGTGGGACTGAAAACTGGTGCAAGTAATTAGAAAAGCAGTATGGTGATTCTTCAGAAAACTTGGAATGGAACCACCATTTGACCCAGCTATCCCACTCCTTGGTTTATACCCAAAGGACTTAAAAATCAGCATTCTACAGTGACTCAGTCACCTCAATATTTATAGCAGCTCAATTCACAATAGCCAAACTATGGAACCAACCTAGATGACCTTCAATGGATAAAGAAAATGTGGTGTATATATACACAAGGGAATATTACTCATCCTTAAATAAGAATGAAATTATGGCATTTGCTTATAAATGGATGGAACTGGAAAGTATCATGCTAAGAGAAATAAGCCAATCACCAAAAAACAAAGGCCAAATATTTTCTCTGATATGCAGATGCTAATTCACAATTAGGATAGGTGGTGGCTAGGGAAAAATACAGGTAATTTGCATTAGGCAGAAGAGTGTGAAGGGAGGGGAGGGGGGGTTGGGAGTAGGGAGGATAGTAGAATGAATCAGATATTATTACCCTGTTTTCATATATGATTACATGACTGGTGAGATTCTACATCATGTACAACATGTATGACATATCAAAATGCATTCTACTGTCACATATAACTAAGTAGAACAAATAAAAAAATACTGGAGAGTATTAAGTAGATGAAAGTGGTTAAAGAGGGATGATTGTTGTGGTTGCTCCATGGGTCCTTGGGTACTCAATGTAGTA